TGGTGTACCATAGAACACCTAGCATGGCTAGGTTTACAGAGTGTACCACTAGAACACCTAGCATGGCTAGGCTTACAGGAGTGTACCACTAGAACAACCTAGCATGGCTAGGTATTACAGAGTGTACCACTAGAACACCTAGCATGGCTAGGCATTTCGGGCATAGTTTTATTCTTAATTGTAAAATATTACAAATTATGAGGTAAGTTGGTATTATGGCTAAGTGACTAAATACTAGTTTGTGAGTTTAGCAATGTGAATGCTTTTGTTTTGGCACAGTATATAGTTTCAGTATTGGAGTATCACAGGATTCATTATTTTAAGACTGAGATTAATATGAAGACAGACTACTGCATAACATATAATAATTAATAATCTCATTATATAGTACATATAAACTTTGAGATTATTCACAAAAAGAACTTCAAAGAGGACTCAAGTGAAGCCTCTCATAAGACCTACAGATAAATATATGTTAACTCTCTGCTACATATAAAAGCCTATTTATCTAATAATGTTCATACCAAACATTGATGTTAACTGTAGTGCAGTACGATAACATGGGCAGGTTGAAGGGTACCACTGATAATGCTCACTGCCACAACACATTAGTGCCAACACTACACTGCCAACATCTCGTTATTTCCTCGGTGTATCACACCATGTTAGTGCCAACACTACACTGCCAACATCTCGTGAGTTACTAACAAGAAAATGTAAGACAGTAGAGCCCCGCCCACACTGTCTTAAAGTGAACGTAGTATAAAGACTAGCAGCTTGCGAGTGCTCGCTAACACACAATACAACAATCACATGGTTCTCTGAGGAACTGACTCAGATACTAAGCAAGGTAAGACAATATTATGCTTTACACAAGTGTGCAGTTCTTAGTAAGTAACTTCAGGAAAAACCTCTCCTGGTGCTTCAGGACTGAGATATTTCTAGTAGGTAATTTTTTATACAGGTTTGCATATCATACAAATTATTTCTTTATAGTGGTATTAAATTACATTATATAGATTTACCCTAGAATAACCGAATAAAGTGATTTTATTCCATAGGGGCCCATCTTAAGTACCAACAATACCACCAGTCCGATAACATTCTTCTTTGCAAATATACAGGGTCTAAAGCCAGCAACAAACAACAAAATACCTTTCATCCGTGGACTGCTTGCAGAGGCAAAGGCAATGTTCGCGGCTTTCACTGAGACCCACATAAAGGATCACTTGGACAACGAAATATGGATCCCAGGTTACAACCTATACAGATGTGACAGAGTGAACAGGCAAAAGGGGGGGGGGTTGGCCTGTACATTGCAGAGTCACTTGTTTGCACAGAACTGCTTAATGCCTCAAATGATTTTAGTGGAAGTTTTAGCAGTAAGGTCGAGAACCAAAACCTAGTCATTGTGGTAGTCTACAAGCCTCCGGATGCAACATCCCAGCAATTCCAGGAACAGCTGTTAAAATATTGACCACTGTCTGGAAAATCTTCCAGCTCTGCACCCAACATCTTGCTCCTGGGGGATTTCAACTTAAGGCACCTAAAATGGAGGAATATAGCAAATAATATTGTTGCAGTAATAACACCAGGAGGCAGCTCTGATGAAAACTCACACTCACACGAGCTTTTAAATCTCTGCACAAAATTCAATTTAAACCAGCAAATAATAGAGCCTACTAGACTGGAGAATACACTAGACCTCATCTTCACTAACAATGATGATCTGATAAGAAATGTCACCATATCAAAAAACAATATACTCAGATCACAACATAATTGAGGTTCAGACATGTATGCGTGGAGCCCCAGACCGACAAAATGAGATAGTCACGAGGGAGCATTCACCAAATTCAACTTCAATAACAAAACATAAAGTGGGACCAAGTAAACCAAGTCCTAACCGATATAAGTTGGGAAGATACACTAAGCAACACAGACCCCAACTTATGCCTAGAACAGATTAACTCGGTGGCACTCGATGTATGCACAAGGCTTATTCCTCTAAGAAAAAGGAGGAGTAGATGTAAAATAGAAAGAGACAGGCGCTCCCTTTACAGGCGACGGAAAAGAATAACAGAGCGGCTAAAAGATGTCAATATATCTGAAATGCGTAGGGAGACACTGGTCAGAGAAATAGCAAGCATCGAACTTAAGCTAAAAGAATCCTTTAGGAGTCAGGAATCGCGGGAAGAACTAAAAGCCATAAATGAAATCGAAAGAAACCCAAAGTATTTCTTCTCCTATGCCAAATCAAAATCGAGAACAACGTCCAGTATTGGGCCCCTACTTAAACAAGATGGGTCCTACACAGATGACAGCAAGGAAATGAGTGAGCTACTCAAGTCCCAATATGACTCAGTTTTTAGCAAGCCGCTAACCAGACTGAGAGTCGAAGATCAAAATGAATTTTTTATGAGAGAGCCACAAAATTTGATTAACACATGCCTATCCGATGTTATCCTGACGCCAAATGACTTCGAACAGGCGATAAATGACATGCCCATGCACTCTGCCCCAGGTCCAGACTCATGGAACTCTGTGTTCATCAAGAACTTCAAGAATCCCCTATCACGAGTCTTTTCCATCCTATGGAGAGGGAGCATGGACACGGGGGTCGTCCCTCAGTTACTAAAAACAACAGACATAGCCCCACTCCACAAAGGGGGCAGTAAAGCAACAGCAAAGAACTACAGACCAATAGCACTAACATCCCATATCATAAAAATCTTTGAAAGGGTCCTAAGAAGCAAGATCACCACCCATCTAGAAACCCATCAGTTACACAACCCAGGGCAACATGGGTTTAGAACAGGTCGCTCCTGTCTGTCTCAACTATTGGATCACTACGACAAGGCCCTAAATGCACTAGAAGACAAAAAGAATGCAGATGTAATATATACAGACTTTGCAAAAGCCTTCGACAAGTGTGACCATAGCGTAATAGCGCACAAAATGCGTGCTAAAGGAATAACAGGAAAAGTCGGTCGATGGATCTATAATTTCCTCACTAACAGAACACAGAGAGTAGTCGTCAACAGAGTAAAGTCCGAGGCAGCTACAGTGAAAAGCTCTGTTCCACAAGGCACAGTACTCGCTCCCATCTTGTTCCTCATCCTCATATCCGACATAGACAAGGATGTCAGCCACAGCACCGTGTCTTCCTTTGCAGATGACACCCGAATCTGCATGACAGTGTCTTCCATTGCAGACACTGCAAGGCTCCAGGCGGACATCAACCAAATCTTTCAGTGGGCTGCGGAAAACAATTGAAGTTCAACGATGAGAAATTTCAATTACTCAGATATGGTAAAACATGAGGAAATTAAATCTTCATCAGAGTACAAAACAAATTCTGGCCACAAAATAGAGCGAAACACCAACGTCAAAGACCTGGGAGTGATTATGTCGGAGGATCTCACCTTCAAGGACCATAACATTGTATCAATCGCATCTGCTAGAAAAATGACAGGATGGATAATGAGAACCTTCAGAACTAGGGAGGCCAAGCCCATGATGACACTCTTCAGGTCACTTGTTCTATCTAGGCTGGAATATTGCTGCACTCTAACAGCACCTTTCAAGGCAGGTGAAATTGCCGACCTAGAAAATGTACAGAGAACTTTCACGGCGCGCATAACGGAGATAAAACACCTCAATTACTGGGAGTGCTTGAGGTTTCTAAACCTGTATTCCCTGGAATGCAGGAGGGAGAGATACATGATTATATACACCTGGAAAATCCTAGAGGGACTAGTACCGAACTTGCACACGAAAATCACTCACTACGAAAGCAAAAGACTTGGCAGACGATGCACCATCCCCCCAATGAAAAGCAGGGGTGTCACTAGCACGTTAAGAGACCATACAATAAGTGTCAGGGGCCCGAGACTGTTCAACTGCCTCCCAGCACACATAAGGGGGATTACCAACAGACCCCTGGCAGTCTTCAAGCTGGCACTGGACAAGCACCTAAAGTCAGTTCCTGATCAGCCGGGCTGTGGCTCGTACGTTGGTTTGCGTGCAGCCAGCAGCAACAGCCTGGTTGATCAGGGGCTGATCCACCAGGAGGCCTGGTCACAGACCGGGCCGCGGGGGCGTTGACCCCCGAAACTCTCTCCAGGTAAACTCCAGGTATTATAATTATTCATAATAGTTAATAATTGACTAAGTGATCCTTAACATTTAATATAATCTACGGCACGTACGTATGACCACATGTACGTGCCACAAATTATACAAAAACGTACGTAAAGGATCACTAAATTAGTTATTAACTCTTATGGGCAATTATAAATTATAAACCTTTGGAAAATATCCTCTCTCTCTGTGGCTTCATTCATCACATATATAACCTTTGGCTTAATTTTATAATAGTTATATACTATACTTGTCTTGGTATGATCAGGAAAGTTAGTTTGTTCCTTCATCGTTCAGCAGCAGGGGTTCGAGACCTGGACACTTACTGTGTATAGTATTCCCTGATCCACTGCAGGACTTTTCCTGTAGTTCCAGCCTACTCCTCTAGCTCTTCAACCAGTCTCTTGAAAGCCTCCATATAGTCCAGGAAGATGCAGTTTACCCGTCCCCCCCCCTCTCTCTCTCTCTCTCTCTCTCTTCTGTCGTACGACTGTTACCTTATTGTAGAACTCTATAAGGTTTATAAATTCATATATACACCTGTTAACCCTTTTGGGGCCTAGTTCCTAGGTCTTTTGTGTATCCATATGCTCTTGCGCTACCGTTCACAGGATGGATATGAGGTGCACAATAAAGTAGCCACTTCGGTGGCAAAATCTAATCTAAGGTTTATGAGGCAGGGTTTTCCTTTCCTGAAGCCGTGCTGGTTGTTATTTACGTGCTCGTTCCTTTCTAGGTGCACCACCACTCTTCTCCTGATAATCTTCTTCATAACTTTACGTACTACACATGTTAGCTACATGCCTGTCTCCTTTCTTAAAAACTGGGACCATTTTTGCTTTCTTCCTTACCTAAGGCAGTTGTGTTCTCTGTTTCAGTAGGTTTATTAAAGATTATTGTTAGTCACCTACGGTGCATTTGCTCCTTCTCTTAGTACTCAAGGAGAGATGTTATCTGGGCCCATCTCCTTGGAGGTGTCTGGTTCACCTGGCAGTTTCTTCTCCTCCTTCTCAGTTGTGTGCAATGTATCCAGCAATTGCTGGTGCACCCTACTCTGTCCATTTGCTGGAAGCCTCTCTGACTCTACTGTGATTACCTTCTTGAATCACGAGCTGAGCTCCTCACATACTTTTTGGTCACTCCTTGTGTGCTCCCCATCATCCATCCTCAGTCTGAACACCTGGTCCTTGACAGTTGTTTTCCTCCTGATGAGGCTATATAACAACTTTTGGTCAGACTTGGCTTATGATAATATGTCATTCTCGTATTACCAATGGGCCTTTGTCCTTATACATGCATATTCATTTCTGGCTCTTTGTTTAAACTTCCCATTTTCCTGAATCTTTTTCCTTCAATACTTTTTCCACACTCCAGCAGTCTTGGTTTTGGCCTCTTCACTCATCTAGGTAAAATAAATGCTTACTCTGGTCTTCCCATTGTTTTGGCTACCCTTTGGCACGAACTTCTTCTCTGCGTCCCTGCATTTTGCGCTGACGTGTTCTATCATTCGTCTAATGTCTTCCCTTCTATCTCTCTTATTCACTGAACCTCATGCAGGAATTACCTCATATGTGTGCAGTTCCCTTTTTTGAAGTTTGGTTTCTTCCATTCTTCTTGTGCTGCTTTACTCTTTATTGCTAAACTCATTAGCTCATGACTGCTAGAGCCGAGGGGCGCTTTGTGTGATTTCCTCTATGTCCAAACTGT